ACAGGTTCAGTAATCATTTCTTGGCCTCTGTGACCGACAGTGAATCTCCAAACCTACACACACTAAAGCGCACTTCGGCCAAACACTGTGTTCCACATGAACCAAAATCAGCGACCAGTACCTTGACTTGGCTCTCGGTCATTCCTAAAGAGTAGGCCAGGCGGGCTCTCTCCGGGCCGGCCAGGTACTTCGTCTGCTCGAAAGTTTTTTCCAGTGCAAAAATCTGCTGTCCTGAAAAAGTGGGTCTGGAGTGTTTCTTCTTTCCGTCCTTGTCCACCATCAGGTTGGCCTGAGCTGGAGGAAGCAGCGCAAGGACGCACGGTTAAAACACACACACACACAGATCCTGATAAAAACACACATTTGATCCACACCTGAGAGTCTAAATGAACCTCCTAAGACACACGAGGAGTTTAATGAGCAGCCACTCACAATTAAAGCTGTTGTATAATAATTAGTATTACATAAGTGTAGAAGTTAGAGGGCGAGTTACATCTAAATGTTCTCTGAGATGCCTTTATGGTCACATCCTGAATATCTGACCTCTTCAGCTTCAACATCTACAATAAGATGAATAAACTAGACTTGTGTGTCTGCTGTGCGCTCACAGGCCTCTGCTGCCCTCAATAATGTCTCAAACCTGAAGTCAGCAGCTTTCCACAAACAGCGCAGCTTCTTCAAAACTAAACACAAACTAAGTCCACACACGCAGGACTTACTGGGACAAGGAACCCGCGGGTCCCTCCACGGAGACCCCTGCATCACCCCGGGCCAGAAGATGGGCGCCCTCCCCGGCAGCTCGGCCAGAGGCTTCGGGTACCGCGACACCGCCGGGCTGAAGTACATCCCCGCCGCCGCAGCGGCCGCGGTGGTCGCCAGGCCGTTTATCCGCGGGAAGCCGGACAGCAGCTGCCCGGCGGTGGTGATGGGTCTCCCCAGGATGTCGCTTATTCCGTGCGGGGTCCCTCCGGAGAGCTGCGAGTTGAGGTTGGAGAGCGACGGCGCCTTGAAGCCGGCCGGGCTCTGCTGCAGCGCGTACGGGAACAGGGACGTCTTCATCTCGGTCATGTTGTGCAGGGCCGCCAGCGGGGTGCTGCCCAGGACGAAAGCACTCTGCCGGTTAGCCTCCATCTGCCCGACCGCTAACATTTGTGAACATGAACCAGCAAACTCGCTCGAATGAAAAACAAAAACAAACAAAAAAATAAAAATAAAAAAACAAAGCTGTAGATAAACTAGTGGAAGTTGGATGCAGGCGCGCAGCGGAGCCGCCGGAACAAAAGTATCCTGGAGCAGCAGCAGAGCGGCTCAAGTGCTCAGAAACTTGAGTAAAGCCGAACTTGTTCTCTCCTGGGAGCTCGATGGAAGCCGCGCCAAGTGTCTCCGCTGTTTGTTTGGGTGCGTGTCAGCTGGGAGGAGGCTGCATGCGGCCGCCGCGGGGATCCTCGCCGGTCTGATGATGGTTTTAGTGGTTTTGATGGGAACCATTAAGGCTCGGCCGGTCCGTCCATAAATTGACTCGCTTCTCTGCTGGGAGGGAAGCGGGACTCTCTGATAACAGCGCAGCCACCTGCAGGCGCGCTGCTCCCATTGGACGGGGCTGAGTGAAGCCGCGCTCTGATTGGACGAGACGCAAACTCCGCTTCTTCACACGTGCGTCTCTGCCGGACGGGTGCTGCTTTGACGTACCGTCGGAAATAAGGCTTCCCGGCAAAAAAAGGTTGTTCAGAACTACGCTCCTCGGCGCTTATTCGGACTTCATGACAGATGGAGGTTGGAGACATTATAAAGCAGCTTGTGTTGTTAATATTATTATCAGTGATGGAGCTGCTTTCTGGTGGAATTTGCCCCCAAAACTGGCATTTTTAACATTTGTTTTTCCTCAGGTTTGTGCTTTAAATTTATTATAAACCACCACACCTTTCAGACTTTTTGCTAAAATCACTCTAACGTTGCATCAAGCTGAATGAAAGCATCTAACCTTCCAGGAAGCCTGGTTTCTGAGGAGGCCGTGAACGCAGCAGCAGCAGCCTGACTCTATTAAGATCTTTAGCGCTGCTGTTAATGACGCGTCTCACACTGTGGAAATCATTGTTTCCACATTTGACAAAGAATATACATTTACCCCGCCAGTATATTAAAGGAAAAGCGGATTTTTTGGGGGAGAAATTCTGCGAGTTTTTACTGAATTTGACGCAGATTGAAGATTTAAATTTTCAATAAGAAAAAAAAAACTTGATTCGACTTTTTATTTTTATTGTTATTTTATTATTATTATTATTTCCGATTTATTTTTCGTTGACAGCTGTGATTATGAGGATTTCTCAGCCAGTCAGCAGCTCTGATTATTTCAGTATTTTCAGATGGTACTTTAGTGAATGAGGCCGGATAAAGTGAGTTATTCCAGCGCTCGTCGGATGCTGCCTTCCTAACAGATTACTGTTTCACCCACTTTCCTCTCTCCATCATTTAATGTTGGTTATTGGCTATTTGGAGGATCTGGATGAGGAGAGCATCCACTGGCCTTTTTAATTTATTTATCTTTTTAACCCAAGTGTCTCATTAAACTCTTAATCTGACTCCGATAATCTGATGTTGTTTTTTTTTCAGACAAACTGTGTTATTATGGTGAAAGTGTGTGAAGAAAAAAACAAAAAAAAAAATCCGTCTCCGGGCTCCAGTCATCACTCTGAGTGCTGTAATATTTTATGGAGATGTGAGGAGGTTGTAAGAGTGAAATATGGCCACGTTAGCATTTGAAAGGCTTCAGCAAATGCACCTTGCTGCCCATTTGCGCACCGGGGGAAGATTGTGGATTTTAAAAGGTTTTCAAACGCGAGGTGATTCACAATTTTGCCTGTATTTCTTCAGGTTGAAGGGATGCTGCAGGCCCGCACGCGGCTTCTAATCCTGCAAATGGCCCCCTTTTTTTTCTAATTTATATGCGTGTATTCTCCTCTGATTGTACACATGCGTTTTATTATCTTGTTTTAAGGTCTTTCTGGAACGATCGCTGCGTAATAGTGGAGCGCAAAAATAAATAAATATCCTACAAGTCTGAAGCAGCAAAGCGTAGCCCAGTCACAGCCTCTGGTTCCACTGATGTGTCAGTGAGTTAAATAAAGCAGTTGGGCCCTGACCCGCAGGGAGATCAATGACGGAAAGATTGGCACTTTTTCCAGCTCATCTGCAGCCAAAGACGAGGAGCTGCCAAACAGCCCGTCACCGTAAAAACCATAATCGCAATTTAACATAATGAAGGAATTTTTATCTCCTAAATTTAAGGGTAATTCAAAGTTTAAACTCTTAAACTCAGATTTGTTACGGACGTGGACGTGGCCCCCATCTAGACGGATGGAAGGTAAAAATGTGGACTGATAATTATTGGGAAATTTATTAAACCAATAAAAAGAGCCGAACATTTATTTCTATATGATTGAGCACCAGCATTAAGAGAATAAAATCACAGCTACTGGGTTAAATAAGAATAATAAACACATGGAGGCGGTAATAGATTTTATTTAATTTTTAAAAAGCCTTTACAATAAATTGAATAGGTTACTTTAATTCTAATATTTATAATTACATTCGCAGTGAGATGTGAACCTGTTGCTCACCACTGACGGTCCACATGAACATGAGGCTGATTTATGGAGTAAATTCTATTGTGGTCTTTAATAAAGGCTCGTTGGCCCGCTGGTGGCGCGCACCGCGGCCTTTTGTGCCGCCATCCAAAGGAAATAGGTTAATAAACAGCGTAAAGATAATCTTATCTGAGTGTAACCTCCACACAAATGGGGATTGACAGAGCAGCAACGGCGGAGATAAGCAGATGTCTGGACAAAAAGACGCTTGTTGGAGTCAGAGGAGGCCTGGATGTGTTCGGTCAGCGGTGCGTTCAGCTGCCTGTCAGCGTCCCTCTGCACTTTCAATTATTCATGTGGTCACAGACATTAAATATACACACATTAATGCGATGCAAAGTGTAGGATATTTAAAAATAAAAAATGAAAATAGAGAAAATCAAAAAAGTTTCAGAATCTGATCCAACAGCGCATCAAATGTTTCCACTGCTGTTTGAAGTCTCTAAGTGGAAAGTCTAATGGAGAAAAACAGCTCTGAGACCCCCCTCTTCAAACTCGATAAAAGTCACGACAGCAGCAGGAGCGACTGTATTATTTGGCCAGCAGCGTCCTCTAGTGGTTCACAGTGAAACCACACACACACACACTGCACACACACTTCATAAATCTCACTGGTCCTCGTTCCCCTCAGCAGCTCTGTGGTCGCTGCTCTTCTCTTTGGTATTTGGAAACAAAATCAGCTATTAAATTATGTTTAGCTTCATCAAAGGCCACTGTTGAGGAAAAAAAACAAGTGATCAGCCTTTTCTGGAGCTGCTGACAGCAAAGCTTCATGTCAGGAGTCCTGGAGTCACTCAGGACTGAAAGGTGACAAGAGACAACAAAGGAGCTCATTACACCTGGAGAAGCATCTCTGTACCGACTGTCTGTTCAATGCAGATTTCACAGATTAAGATTTGAAGTCTGGGTTCGTACCTGGGTTTACTTCTGAACTTCTCTGCCCTGCTCCTCTTCCAGGCCTCTTACATCCTCGTAGCAGTAGCTGGTACCTGTTCTGTGATAGATGCTGGAGGGTCCACAGCAGGAACAGCCCCACAGCTTTGGAGCAGCCGTCCTCATTCACTCAAATGCTCCATCAATACTTTTCAGAAAAGTCTCCAGACATAGATGTTTATAATGGTTTCGGTTGCTCTCAGTGGTCTTACTATATTTATTTTACAAACTGATTGTACAAGTCGTTATCCCATTTTGCTTTTTGCACAGATCTGTGCTGCTTCCTGTCTGGTCATACGTGCAGCACGTTGCTCAGATTGTTAAAATAGGTTTTGATTTGATTTGATAAATCCTACGAGGATCCCAGTAATAACTCCGGTGCAGACCTTGTGATAATGTCTGCTGCTGTCCATCCCTTCATCCTTCACCTCTACTTATTTTATCCGGCAGGTAGCTGAAGTTTATCCCAGCGGACACGAGGCCTCCTGGACACGAGGCCTCCTGGACAGGCCACTGGTCCGTCCCACAGCTTCTCCGTGGATGTCTGAGGTGAAAGAGGAGATGAACCAAGTCCACACTGTCACATTCAAATATCCAATTTTAAAACAAAGTTATCAGGACTGTTGTACTTTATTTAGTTGTTCAGCAGTAAAAAAAAAAAAAAAAAAAGTTTCTAAATATGTTGCCAAAAAAGCCCATAAATGAAAAAGAAAAAATAACAAAGATTAGACTATTTAAAACAAATTAGTTTTCCTTGATGTCACTAAGAATGCAGTTTCTTCGTAGCAGAACCCACACTGGTCACAGTTTCTGTTTGTTTTCATCACTTCTATTTCGTATTTTATTGTTTTTCTACTTTTGCCATTTCACAACTACTACAAAGCTGCATGTTTAATTTAAATCTTTACAAACCATCTTATTATTACGCCCTTATTCTGTATCATTTGTTTATTGTGAATACATAAATATGCTTGTACATATTTACGTTGCACAGCTGAACTTGGCGTCCCCCTGGTGGCATGTCTTGCAGAATTCCATCTGTATTCTTTCTTTTGCTTTTATAAAGTGTTTTACCTGTTTTTTGTGAATCACTGTTGTCCCTTTACCCCCAAACATCCACAGGTCACACTCATGACTCAGTAAATGTTGGATCCTTGTCTGTCATCAGTTCTCACAGAGCTGTTATTCCCAGAATGTCTGAAGGCTAAATGTTTGTTGGAAGTTGTCTTTGTAGTAATGAACTGTGTGTGTTGACCACTGGATTGCGCCCTCAAGCTGCTGATGGTAAAGAAAAGAGCCAATAATACTCTGATGGTCAACTAAACATCTTGACACATGGACAGTGAAAGGTGGTTTGATGTCCAGACCTTTGAGAGGAGAAGAACATCTTTACTATGGAAAGAAATTATTATTATTATTTTAATGTAAATACACATAAAACAAGACCTGACTCATTTGGACTTTAAAAATTCACACATCACAGAGGTTGTCAAAGACTCAAACTTTCAGTGAGCCAGTTTAATTTTTAAAAGATGTTTTATCCTACAACTACAGACTCTTTTTAGACCTTTG